TCTTGAGCATTATTAACTAATGTAATGCAGCTTCATTTCTGTTGTCTCTTCAAACTAATGTAATGGAGCTTCATGCCTCTTAAAAGTATCTCTTCCAACTAATGTAATGGAGCTTCATTCCTCTCATCTCTTCCAACTAATGTAATGGCGCTTCATGTCTCTTATCTCTTCCAACTAATGTAATGGAGCTTCATGTCTTTTGTCTGTTCCAACTCATATAATGGAGCTTCATGTCTTTTGTCTCTTCCAACTAATGTAATTGAGCTTCATATTTCTTGTCTCTTCAAACTAATGTAATGGAGCTTCATGCCTCTCACCTCTTCCAACTAATGTAATGGAGCTTCATGTCTTTTGTCTCTTCCAACTAATATAATGGAGCTTCACGCCTCTTGTCTCCTCCAACTTATATAATGGAGCTTCGCGTCTCTTGTCTCTTCCAACTAATGTAATGGAGCTTCATGTCTTTTGTCTCTTGCAGCTAATATAATGGAACTTCACGCCTCTTGTCTCCTCCAACTAATATAATGGAGCTTCGCGTCTCTTGTCTCTTCCAACTAATGTAATGGAGCTTAATGCCTCTCACCTCTTCCAACTAATGTAATGGAGCTTCATGTCTTTTGTCTCTTCCAACTAATGTAATTGAGCTTCATATTTCTTGTCTCTTCAAACTAATGTAATGGAGCTTCATGCCTCTCACCTCTTCCATCTAATGTAATGGAGCTTCATGTCTTTTGTCTCTTCCAACTAATATAATGGAGCTTCACGCCTCTTGTCTCCTCCAACTTATATAATGGAGCTTCGCGTCTCTTGTCTCTTCCAACTAATGTAATGGAGCTTCATGTCTTTTGTCTCTTGCAGCTAATATAATGGAACTTCACGCCTCTTGTCTCCTCCAACTAATATAATGGAGCTTCGCGTCTCTTGTCTCTTCCAACTAATGTAATGGAGCTTCATGTCTTTTGTCTCTTCCAACTAATGTAATTGACCTTCCTGTCTCTTGTTTCTTCCAGCCCACCCCTCTCCATAAAGAGAGCTTCATGTCTCTTCCAACTAATGAAATTGAGCGTCATATCTCTTCAAACTAATGAAATGGAGCTTCATGTCTCTTCCAACTAATGAAATGGAGCTTCATGTCTCTTCAAACTAATGAAATGGAGCTTCATGTCTCTTCCAACTAATGAAATGGAGCTTCATGTCTCCTTGGACATTATTAAGTAATGTAATGGAGCTTCATGTCTCTTGAGCATTAGTAACTAATGGAAAGGAGTTTCATGTCTTCTAGGCATTTTTAACCAATGTAATGGAGTTTCATTTCATGTCTTTAAGGCATTATGCAGTTTACACCCTAACAGAAGATGGCCCCTGTAGGCTTCAGACTGAATGAATGCTAAATTATGCTAATTTGCCCCATACTTAAACGAGGAAATTATTGATATCATCTATATTTTCAAATTCTATCAAAGGTTAGCTATAAGGAAATACGTGTCTAGAACAAGGCATGGGTATGTTAGTAATAATTGTTGCCGGACTCAATAAGTTGATTCATTCATACTTTTCCTTTGAATTGAATTCTATGATTCATCACATGAGATCATACATCATTGAACATCGGATATACAAACACTCTTGTCAATGAGTTCAGTTCGTACTCAAGTGAAGCTCCTTGCTCAAAATTTAATTCGTCACTGGGTAGTCAAATTATGGATATTTATCGGGGAACCCAAAACAATTTGCTTTAGAGGTTTTTTTTTTGTTTGAAAATCTGGTTGAAGAGGGATTCTTCCGTCCAAAAATGAAATCCAACGAAATCCATCAATGAGAAATGCATAAATTTGCACTTTGTTAGAAAACTTAATAGATTACAACTGAGTTTGTCAGAATACATTCCCCGCTTTTACCCCTTCAACACCTTTTCATTATATAATAGAAAATTGGGAACCGACCTGCTTCGGAGTCACATTGCTCCTGTTGAAGGACCTTCTCTTGCAACTAGTGTACGAAATTTACCAAGATCATAGGCTAGATATTGGACTATGCCCTAGATTCAAAATAACTATACTTAGGACTCTTGTGGTAAATTGCATTCAGCTTGGTAAGCAGATTTATCAAGTTTCGTTTAAGGGGGATTGTGGTTCAGCCTCATATAAACAGGACTTGAGAGTTCTGTTTTCCAATTCCAAAAATATATCAATTTGTCTTAGAAATGCAATTTTTTAAGCCAATCAGTAATAGAGTTCACAGCTTACCGCCGAAATTTGAGCCTTCAAATCCATGTGTGTCCAGAATTATCCACATTTAGATGTGAAAAAAAGATTACTCGTCAATTTAAGATACTCTGTGATATATAGAAAAGATATACCGGTATATAGAAACAGTGAGTGAAGGAACTATGCTATTTTCGTACATGTCTAGTACTTTACATATTTTCAAGACTCAAATCAACCCCCCAAATTGGCGCACCTGTCATTTAATATTAATATATTCAAAATCTGTCACCACAGTACCATAACTTTTCAGATGATGTAACATTCATTCTCTGACAATATACAGTATGACAAATACATCAAAATCAGATAGTTTATAAACGGAAGACCATGGTAATATTACAAACTAATTGTGATTCGATTTTCTTTTGAAGTGTGACTGTTTCCTGACTGACAATCCCGCCAACATCTTTGCTTCCTTATGTCCTTTATGAAGATATCTGTAGTCTAATCAATGAGTTTTGAGCAGCGGTCGAATAAACTCCGTCAAATTTTTTATGTTAAAATGCTATGAAATCCCCCCCCCCCCCTCTCTACCCCCCATAAAAATAATAAAAATAACGCAGCCTCGGTCGAGAGAATAAAACTGTATATTTTCATGTGCTATGTAGTTTAGTTCTGTAAGTATATATAGTAAAGGAATGCTGCTACCGACTCATCACTATCATATTAATGGAAAGGAATAGCATTGCAATCATCTGAAAGGAGTAACACCACGATCACCTGAAAGGAGTAACATCACGATCACCTGAAAGAAATGGCATCTGTGAGGAATAGTATCACGATTATCTGAAAGGAATAGTATCACGGTCGTCTAAAAGGAATGACATCACGATGATCTAAAAGGAGAAGTATCACGATCATCTGAACGGAACAACATCACGATTATCTGAAAGGAATAGCATCACGATCATCTGAAAGGAATAGCATCACGGTCGTCTAAAAGGAATAGTATAACGATTATCTGAAAGCAATATTAAATGATAATCTGAAAGGATAGCATCACAATCATTTAAAATGAATAGCATTACGATCATCTGAAAGGAATAGCATCACGATCATCTGAAAGAAATGGATGGCATCACGATTATCTGAAGCATTAACATCATTATAAAGGAATAGAAGAACGATTATCTGAAAGGAATAACATCACGATCTTCTGAAAGGAATAACATCACGATCTTCTGAAAGGAATAACATCACGATTGTCTGAAAGGAATAACATCACGATCATCTGAAAGGAATAGCATCACGATCCTCTGAAAACAATAGAAACACGATCTTCTAAAAGCAGAATAAAATTTTCATTTGAAATCAATAGCATCACGATCCTCTGAAAGGAATTGTATCCGATCATATGAAAGGAATAATAAGTATCACGATCATCTGAAAGCACCACGATCGCCGGAAAGTAATAGCTACAACAGATATATCATTATGATATAATTCTAAAACAAGATCGCCTCTGCCCCTGAAAACTTTTCGTCTTTCACGCCTATGAGTAAGAGCAGAGAATATCTTGGCTATGTAGAGATACCTGTATATAATAATTTGTGAGATTGTTTACTGTTAAACGGTATGTAAGGTATGTGTTGTTATAAATAAATAAATATCTATAGAAATATGGTTTAAACATTAGTATATCAAATATTTCGGTTGGTGAAATTTTCCTTTCTATTTAAACACAGGTACTCAATTTGAATACAATGTATTGAAGCATTTTACCTATTGAGAATAGTCATACCATCACACCTAGGTCGTGGAGTTCTTCTTTTAAAATTGTTAAGGGGTTGTAAAGATGTTTTGTAAACTTCTTATTTGGATCAGAGTCGTTTATGACTTCTATTTGCATCAATCCAACTTTTCTCAGAAGTTTGTGGTTCCTGTAATTATGGATTCGTAAACGATGCTGGTGGTACCATTTCTTCACAATCATCTGATGATCCTATAACGCTTAGTTTTAGTGGAAAAGGTGGAAAATTGTTAAAGCGCAAAACATTCTATAAAAGTCCTCATTACACTAAGTTAACCTTCAGAACCTGAATAATGTATTTTCCGCAACGGAAGAAAATATGCGTGTCATACATGTTTGGTGAGACTAAGGTTATGGAAGGGTAAGTGAGACTGTATCGGAAAGATTACGTAATAATATAGAATTGATAAAAGGTGAAAGGGGTGCGTAGTTGACAAACCTGGTTGAAAAGTGGCAGGTGTTTCAAAATAGTGAGCATAATGCCCTACTATCGAGATAGATAATACTAGACTTTCTCAAGTATAATACGCGTCTTGGACTTTTTTCACTGCTATACAATAGGATAATAAGGTTAGACTCTCCAAAAGGCAGAAAAGATCATAGTTATATCCTAATTCGGACAACGATCCAAGACAGAATCTTTTTTTCCAGTTTTACTAGGGTTCAAGTTGATGAATACTATGTGGTATCCAACGATTTTCGGACTTTCCTTCATGTACCGCAATTTCTAAAAGTTCAAGGGAGGTAACACCTAATTATCTCCTAATATTTTAGAACACGGTTAATTTGTTATATTGTTTGACCACTTCACCTCTTGCTCAGAATTGTTGCTTAGGCCATGCCAATGGATATCATGTCATGGTTTTCTGTAAAATCATTTTATATTTTTTTCAGTGGCTAACATTTTCACCAACCCAAAGACAATCTAATTTGCTATATAAAAATAGAATGAAATTTGGCTTTAAGAAATAACAAAAATATGTCTTATGTATATATATTTAATCTGCTGTATTTTTAAAATAATGCTATTAAAATACACAACAATATAGCATTCAAAATCCAAATAATACCCATTTCATAATCCATTTGATCACTTGTAAAATATAAATTACATAGAGTCAGATTCAACACTAGTGGAGAAATATAATTATGCTACTACTAATACTAACTAATACTATTAATAATTGCCATGAAAAAATTTGATATTTGATTTAACACTTAGTCTAACATAAGATTTAAATAATATACATACTACTATTATATTCTAGAATTTCTAGACCCTGATTCTTAGAATTGTGGAGTATTCATGCAACTTAACTTTGACTGGCTGATATCTATTTAAGAGAGTTATATTTGTTTTTGAAATTAACAAATATCTATGATCAACCTGAAAATTGTTATACCTTTCAAAGGCAGAAGAAGCAATCTCATAAAATCTTGTTCTTGAAAAAACTAGAAATTTAGAACATAGAGAGAGCTACCAGACTAGAGAAAAAATTGACACTTCAATATTCATGATTTCACACAGAACAAATATAATGGAAGTTTTAAAGCTGAATCAGGTATCATATCTTTATCATGTCCTGATGATGATGCTCTCACACCATAGTAATTACTAGTTGTATTTAGTTGCGAATAATGAAAGTGTTCACGAGTACCGAACCAACTCAAAACTCATTTTTATGAGAGTTCAAAACTTGACTGGTTTTCTTATTCGCAACAATGCGCAATGTGTGATCTTTATGGTGTGAAGACACTTAACTGTTATTACCCATACAGAAGATAGTAGATAAAAAATTGCTTTTTAAGATAAAAAATTTGCATATTTCATAATATCCTAATAAGAGAACAGCTGATACAAATAGAAATGCTGTCAGACCCATTATTCTGCAATTCAAGCATCCCCAAAGCACTTTCCTTTTGTTAAGTCTGGTAAATAGAAGATAATCAGAAGTCCTATATCAAAAAAAGACTAGTTTAATCTCGCCTATCTTTGTTGTTCTTCCAGATATTGAAGGTTAAAGCACTAGCCAAGGTCAGCCATCCCAAATATGGTATTAATAGATAGCTAGCTGTGGTATTAACTGGGTGAAAGGACACTATGGTAGCAGCTACTGTTCCCCATAATACTCCAATTTCAATGGTAGCCTAGAACAGAAAAATAAAAACTAAGAACTTAATGAAAAAAACAATTATTGGGTCAGCAGATCATTTACAATGTCAAGCTATTACGAACTTTGTACTTGTACTTTTTTGTATCATGGAATGCAGAGATTTGATTGGATTGTACGCCAGTAAATACTGCCAATCAGAACCCTTGACAGATAGTCTGTGAACATTATTGATTACGGTTTAGACTTTCTATCTAGGCCTCTGATTGGCTGCATTAGCTAGTGTGCAATCCAAATCGTTGCATTCCATGATACAAGAAAGGTTTTTATTGCTGTCAAGGTATAAGATGAAGTTCATAACAGCTTGAAATTGTTTGATTTCTGAATACTGCACTGGTTTGAATAACATATGAATAACAGGCAAGCTCAGTATTCGGCATTCATATTTTGGTATCTTTGATTCAAAAGAATTCTGAATATATAGGTATAGGAGCAAACCTTGCACTATTTTTTCAGATAACTGAAACGTTGTTCAATGCCAACTTGTACACCTTTACACCTTTTTACAAATATATTATCTTCATAACAATATGTATTTAAGTGAAACTATGAAATGTTTTGACAACTGTCATATTCAAAACTATAAAACAATAACCCATTTAAAAAAAAGAACCTTTTAAAAAGTAAAATTGTTTCTTATTCACATATTTTACACTTTTCTCACAAATTTTTAACATTGAAATAGAAATTCTTGAAGAGAAAGGGTCTTGAAAGGGTAATTAACATCATAATTTGATTGTCTTAGATGGATTGGTAAGTTTTTGATGAATTTCAGGAAGAACTGAGAAGCCTTTATCTAAATTCTGAAAAGTGATGTAGATAACTGGCCCCTCTTTCACTAAACCTCTTCAGTCCAAAATTTACATTACACTAAGTGTCTAAAAAATATTGGCGTATTTACCACAGCTATACCCTATCTACTTTGTTTCTTAACTCAAGAAATGTTTCAGAATAGATGAAACTGGCTAATTTCTGTTTTGAAAACTTATTAATATCAAAGAATTTGATGTTTTTTACATTTTCCCTGCATAATTTGCCTTATTTTTGTTATTTTGACCTTTCAATTTTTTGACTGTCAATTGTAAAGATGATGTCAAAAATCTGAAGGTGACATCATTTCACACTTTCATCTTACCACCATATTGACAAATATGATCTACAATAGGCCTTATTAGAGCATTAAAGGGAATTAAAAGTCTCATGAATTATATTTCTTTATTGTTTATATGAAATAAAGATGTAAATTTAACAAAACAATGCTGTGGATGACGTGCGTGAAACCTTCGTAACTAATAAAAGTTTGTTACCGTAGTGAAACACCCATAAGTATATGCGTAAGATGATTGTAAATCCAATATTTTGGCGTAACTTACGCTGGGAATCAATCTTCATTTGTTCCTAAAGCAGACATTTAAACTATTTAAGTTTAATATTATCAAATTAATACTCACCAAGCCCATCTTTCTCAAACCAAAGAAGATTGGGGTCCAAGCCCAGTTTAAGGCAAGTTGTGTCCCAAATAAAGCCAGGGGTAATTTAGCATCACCATCAAACCCTCCTCCATCTCTCCATACTAAATACGAAGCATATCCCATAGAACTGTACAGAAATGTCCAGACTGGAGCAAATAAATAGTTTGGTGGCCTCCAGGAGGGACGATGTAGGTTCTGAAACGAAAGATTATTTCAGTCTACAAATAAGCGTACAATTTGAAAGACTTTTGAAGCATTGTTTTCCAGAGGTCAAAAATGTCTAGACTAGAGAAAACTGTCTCGAATTCAGATGGTGAATATGATGTACCTAAAAACAAACAAGCATTGTAAATCTTAAATTCTATAACATTCTTTTGCCTTTATGATCATTTTTGTTTTTCTAATGTTACAAATAACATGCATCAGTCTATTAAGGTAATGATTTAGTCAGTTTGCTAGTACTCATGGCAGTAATGAAGCTTTCTTGTAGTGACCCATAGCTATTTTCATACTTACCTCATACCAATCAGGGATACTTTTTTTGGTGATGAAACCACCGGCTATACCACCAAGATTTGGTAAAATTATAGCAAACGCTGGTCTAATGTACTCAGACATCTAGAAGTATATATAATCTTTATATAGTAACAATAGATATAAGAAATTAACCACAAAATATATGGATATACAAGTACATCATTTATAAATTTTGAGACTTAACATTTTACAAGCTATGCTCATTCATAATTATATATATAATTCATGAATCAGTATGAAAACTACAAAAAAAAACATTCATATTTGACAGAGATAACAAGCTTAACCTTTGAGAAATGAAATGAATGGAGTTTTACATCCTACTATTCTGCACCATGTGGGCTAATGAAGACGGGCAACACCATGCCGGTTTTAATGAGGGATTTTTGCCAGGACAGCAACATGAGCCTGCTCTTTTTTTCGATTTCCAACTGTCGAGGGATCTTTAATGTGCACAGCCTGTAGCACACAGGGCCTCGTTTTATTTTCCCATCCGAAAGACTAGAGGCTTTTTCCATGTCAGACCCTCTTTACCTGCATCACTGACAGGGGGAAACCGGGTAGAAGGTATCATCTCGACCTATGGCTATGCGGGGATTGAACCCTGGACCTTCAGGATAGCGAGCAAGTGTCTAACTCGCTGAGCCACCGCAGCTCCCTTAACCTTTGAGGATAGTGCCCCTAACAAATCATTCACATCATTGAGTTCTAATGTCTGGAGGTGGTAGCCCCCCTTGACAATTCTGTGGCCCCTGCTAACCCTAACTAATGATTCATACAAAAATGTTTGAGACAGTTTTGCTAGCTTTTGAGTATCCTTGACCAAATCTCTGGTCGGGCCAGATGATCGAAAAATGATGCAATATGGCTTTCTCAAGGACAAGATTTAAAAACCCTACCAGATCCATATTAATGAAGTCAAAAGAACCTACTGAGCATCCTTTGCAACAACCTGGCTTCGAGGAAAGAAATATTTCAGTTTTTGTGGGATTTCATAAGTTATGTAACACAAAAAAGTCATGATATGGAATGATTGGTTTATTTCGAGCTAACGCACTTAATTAGAGGTGTCAACACAAGGGTCGAACACCGGCTGTTTCAATCGAACGCAAAATAAGTGTATATTTAATTTTTACCTTTGTTTTATACCTTCACACGCCCTTTCTACAACTTTCTCCAACAATTTGACCCCTTGGACTCTCTTAATTAAAGGGAGATAATCTGTATGCTAAAATGGAGTTACTTCCCATTGATCATGAAACTACCATTGACCTTCACCTTCAGGGGAAGTTCAGGAATCTAAAATGGCTACCTCTCCAAACACTTCAGGGACTCTCACTCCTAAAAAGAAGGATGAATCGTTCCTGGATAAAATTGGAACATTGGGAAGAAAGAAGAAAATAAAGGAAGGTTTGTAGAATGTGGCTAGCAATTTTTTTTTATGTATTTCAGTCCTATAATTGTGATAAATAGTCAATGTTTACACATTTTTAGAACTTGACCAAACCCATTTTCCTTATTTCCTTTTATGGAAATTCTGTAATTTTATTAAATTATAGCATTATTTGGTACTGATACTACCAAAAACCAATGCAGAAGTATTGTTAAAAGAATATTTTTTATATATGCACTGTCACAATGTTGGAAGAAGAAAAATTTGGGACAGGGGGTCGCTCAATTATTGGTGAGTTCAGCACATTTGGGATTCATGGAATCAACAGGACAGTCAAAAAGCAAGTTGAAATTGAGTTCAGAATGCATTCCTTGAGTGCCAAATAAATAGTAGGTAAGTAGGTGAAGATGGAATTCAAATTGGTAGAGAATGAAATAGATGGGAAAATTTTGTTAGTGACATATTCTGCTTCCGTACTGTGTGATTGAGGGCATAATCGGAACTGACAGAACCTGTTATGAACTCTCGCATTCAGTGGCAGCTTTAATCTGAACCAATTCATTTGGATTTTATTAATGTATGTTGCTAAATTTTGATGTTGTTTTATTTTGTAGTAAGTGAATTAGTAGAAGAAGGTAAACATGCTATTGAATCTCCTACCAGTCCTACTATTCCTGATATTGGACCAGAAGGCTACGTTCTGGGTAAGTTATAAATGTTATATTATCAATAACTAGTTAAAACAATTGGTTTATTTTTCCATTATTAGATCACCACTCTTCACTTGCATGCTGCCTAGTTTTACTTTCCTATGCTTAAAGGAACACCTTCACTATCAGTTCGACCAATCATACCTTAGTTTCAGAAACAGGAATTTTTTTAGCTTACATAATCAGTAGTAGTGTTCACAGCTCATGTCGAAATTTGAGCCTTGAAATCTATGTGTATCAATGGATGGATATAGAAGTTTATATCTATAAAACTGTTGTTTCTTAGCGTACAAGAATATAAACAATAGTTTGACTTCTCAAAATTTTATTCTGAATTTCCCTTGACAACTTTGCAACTTACACTTATAATTCTGCCTAACTGTATGATTATTTTGTTCACTTCTTTGATTTAATATTGTATCAGTAAATATTTTTGTCATTTGTTTTTTCCAGGTGAAAATGAAGAAAGATCTATTATTGATCCATCTTCAAGAGATGAACCCAAATTGAAGGAGCTCATCAAGGTTTGTTTTAATGTTATTCTTATTCCTTGTGGGGGCAAGACTATTCCAGAAACAATCTTACTATAAGGTTGATGATAAGTGAGGAATTTCAATACCATGCTTATGACCAAATTGACTGTAAAAGTTTTGAATAATTGGCCTCAGGATTGTGTCAGAAATTTAGTAATGGATAACGGATAACAATGAGAACACGTTGTACCCCAAGTTCTGAAATCAATGCATTTACTTAATGACATCAGTTGGAAAAACTTTCCGTCCAAGTCTAGTAAGAGTAAGTTTCGTGCTGTAGTTATTCCCATTCTGAAATTTTGTATCAGATATATAATATAATTATAAACTTGAGTAAATATTGTATTTATAGATCTTATTAGACTGGATTAATGATGAGATGGCTGAACAGAGAATTCTAGTAAAAGATATTGAGGAAGATTTATTTGATGGTCAAATTCTACAGAAATTAATTGGTTAGTATTTAGAATTATATCTATTCAATGAACTTTAAGAAGTCTGATATAGATATTTTTGATGGTCTGGTCTAGAGTCAGAACAGCATGATATATGTGCAGTTTTCAGTGTCACAAAGCTTCTTTATGCATCCATGGTCCATTAAATCTGTTGTTAATCTTTAAAATATATAATTGACTTATATGTATTAGATTAGATAGCTACTCACAGCCATTTCAGAACAACTGATGATTGTTTTTCCTACTCATTTTAATCAAGAATGAATGAAACACTCTTTATTTCAATGTTTTAGTTATGTTCAATCCTGATATATTACCTCATGGTTTTTTTTTGTTTATGGAGTCCCAAATTGGAGAATTTCTGTTTAATTGTTTTGATATATTTTTAGAAAAACTACAAGGTATAAAAGTTGGAGCACCAGAAGTATCACAGTCAGAGATTGGTCAGAAACAGAAATTACGAGTAGTGTTAGACTATATCAATAGAATATTAAACGTAGGGGGAGGCTGGAATCAACAGAAGTGGAGTGTTGACAGTAAGTTTATATTGTTTATACCATAGTCTCATATCAGTGATAGTTAACTGTATTACAAAACAATTATTAGATCTTAAGATGTAACATACTATAGTGTTTATAACTATGGCAGGGTTGTTCAATAATTTCTTAATGGATTTTCAATACGTAAAATCAAATATTTGAAAAATTTCTTTTATTGGGTTGATTAGCATCACCAAAGATCCTTCTATTTGTACGCTTGTCTTAACACAAAAATTCTACAGAAAAGCATAGAGCAAACTAGTTTATGATGAAATTAACCTGAAAACCAATGTATCAGATTGAAACAAACTATGTATCAAATGATCCTAATATAATTCTAGATCTTTTTAATGAAACATCTTTCTGTTTGTAGGTATTCACTCAAAGAATTTAGTGGCAATACTACATCTTTTAGTTGCCTTGGCACGACATTTCCGAGCTCCAATCAGGCTTCCTGAAAATGTTCAGGTTATTCTTATTGTAGTTCAGGTGAGTAGTGCATAGACCTATTGTGCCTTACCAAGACCATTGAGAACATTTTAATAAAATGAATCTTACAATATGTCAACTGTTATTGAATAGTTTGAATAAAACTGTGATCTTATTGTTAAATTTCAAAATGGGCTGTTTTTGGCGTTTAATCTCATCGTATGACTTCAAATATAAAGTTCATCTGATTCACAAATAAAATATCTTGAACAGAACGAAACTTACTGAACTAAAACACCCATAAATATAACTGTCTGAACTGTAATGATACAAGATAATGGATTTCTTGTTTTTATTGAACAGAAAACTGATAATTCTTAATTTTTTTATTGAACAGAAAACAGATAATTTATTACAAACGAGAAGAGTAGCTGAAGAAATCACTGCTTATAATGAGTGAGTTAAGTTATTTTTTTGTTTCTAAAGATTTTGTGAATATATCTGATAAGTAATCTTAATTTCATGAAATGATCCTGTTTACATTTGAATAAATGTCTAAATTAGTACCTTGTTATCACTAGTTATTTGTTTATCGGAAAAGATCCGCTTTCAACGAGGCTGACATAATATGGCTATGCTGATCTTTACTTTGATTCTCTATTTTTTTATTTATTTCAGTGATATTGGTGCTAGATTTGGTAAGTTGTTTTTTATAAGATTGGTTAAATTTTAAAGTTTTTCAGAAAGCTTGTTAAACTTATTAATAATTAGGTGATATTTAAGTGGTTTATTCCAAATCATTGTGATAAATAGTTATTTGATAAATTTTTGAGGAATATTTTATGAAGTTTTGAGATTATATTTTCGTGTCATTTCAGAACGTGATGCTTTTGATACTTTATTTGACCATGCTCCTGATAAGTTAAATGTTGTTAAAAAGGTAGGATAACTATTTTGTTATGTTATTCTATAAAGCATTCACAGGATTTTAGTAAAAGGGAACCTATTGCAAAACGGACTTACAAAATTGGTCTCTACCAACCTCAATAAATCCAACATGGTTTTTGCTACTCTTTCATCTGTTTGTTTGTATTTAGAGATTAAAACCTTATTTGATGCTTGAACAAAAGTATTAAGGGTTATTGAATATTAACAAGCCTAAAATGCTGGTCAAAAAACCTTTCTATTGGAAGAATGTGTATCTTTAACTATTATAAGTGCTTTATTTCTATTTATTTCATTTTTGTGTGTTGTATTGCAGACTTTGGTAACCTTTGTAAATAAACAGTTAGTAAAAGTGAATTTAGAAGTCACTGATTTAGATACACAGGTTAGACTATACTTTCACTTCTCTTGTGATGTCATACACAGCAAAATGAATGTGTATCAAAGCTTTAAATGACAAATAGTTTCTATCAATGAGGCCTGAACATGCTTTCTGTGCTTATTTGCTATAGAGTAAGTGTATTCATTGTAATATTTTGAGAGTCTTTAATCAATTACATAGTTAATTGAATTCTATATCAGAATTAGAAATTTGAATACACTTTCTGCTTTTCAAATGTTTTTTGATACATATAGTAAACAAATTAATACCGTTTTAATAAATTTTTATTATAAATAATAAACACTATATATTTCAGTTTCATGATGGAGTGTTTCTAGTTATAATGATGGGATTATTAGAGGAATATTTTGTGCCATTATACAGCTTTCATCTTACACCCACTAATTTTGATCAGAAGGTAAGCTCTTTTATTTATTGTTTTTCAACTTCAAAACAACATAGATATACACTGAATATATAAATAAATATCACAAATAAACCATAAAATCAAGCACATACTAATACCAAATGCTATAATCCAATCAGTCATATCGTAATATTTATTGAATTTTGTGTTGATTTTATATCTTGTCACAAACAATCAACAACATAATGGCCACCTCAATATTTGCTTATGTTACTTACATATACCTTGTAGAAAAATCTGAAATTATCACTCTAATTAGCTCATAAAACATATTCCACCATGTATGTATGTAGAGAAGGAAATGGGCTGGTTTTAAGGGTATATAAATAATAATGTTATGCAAGGGGGAAATAACTCTTATAGTCATGTTGACAATGCTGTTTGTCATTCTGAATTTGTCTACCCATCTTCATTAGCCCACATTGTTCAGAAAAGTAGAAAAAACTCCATTCATTCATATACTCTGGTTTGTCTATATATAGCCTTAAACATTGGCAATGAAATTGAAGCAGATCTTTTTATTCGTGATCCAAGCCCCAAGCCGGTGCTTTGCATTTGAGTTTTTTTAATCACTAACAAGCTAAATAAATAGATATTATTGGATTGATAATGTCATCAATTGATAATAGATTTTATCTCAGTTTTTATGATTAAACAATTATTTGATTAATGAATTAGTAAATTATTAATAAACTTAATCATATCAATAGATACTGTCTATTTCAAATCCTTTGAAACAATTGTAATTAATAGATTACAGCATGGCTTATCTGATATCCTTAGCAAAAAAAATGTTCTATACATTTTGATGTGAGGTACAGTAGTAATGTTACAAAGTCAATACAAAATGGAAAATTTCTCAATGTAGAGAATTTGAAGAAGCTTTCTGTACTTTTTTTTGTATAGATAAATGATTGTTGTAGATTAATAAAAAATCTAATGATTTTGCACTTTGTTTATTCTCTAACAACTGTTTAATAGAATAAGCTATACCAGTATTATAGTTGAGTAGACTTGTATTTCTCTATATGACTCATTCAATGATTCTATGTACACTAGACTGCTGATTGCACAAAATTACATTTAAAGAGAAAGCACTAAGTTTGTACTGTAATATTATACTTAATGTTAGTTATTGTAAATATAGTATCTGTATTCATGCAATATTTTCTCAAAAAATTGAAATTACATAAGAGTAGCTTTGGCCAGCCACTTTATGTGTTATGTTTTGTGCTTAGATGTCATCTATCTATCATTTTATGTTGAGTACTTGTGTTCTTAAAACTTGTAATAACCAAATGATTATTGTACAATAAACTAGATTTGATAAATTCTTGGCTACTAGTGTAAGAGTGAGATGAGAATAGTATTATCAAAAAAGCACTGGCCTAGGCCATGATGTAGGAAACAAAATCAAAGGATGAGATAGTTAGCTTAAACAATAGTTATAAATTGAATTATTAAAGTATGAAATCGTTTTTTTCCTGGGTTTTGGAAATTGTAATCTACTAGTGTTTGTTCATGGCTTATAGCTATCTTTACTTGTGAATTTTCCCTGTGTAATAGGCTGTCTGTTTTAAAAATCTACAATTTTAAATCATAACAGCATTAAGCAGCATTGCTCATCTCTCATTTGTCTGATCAGAATGAGAGAAGAAGAAGATTAAGATAGAGCGATAGATGTAGTACTAGGTATTTACTGTACAGGTGTTATGTGTATTTTAAAACATCAGTAATCACCTGTATTATTGACACAGTATTACAATCTTACTTTCACTTTATTATTGACTCTTCTTCCACCTTTTACACTCACTTCAATCACTTTCTTCTGACTTCCAGAGACATAAGCTATCTTCTTGTGCTGTAGGCTCTCAATCAGTATGATTTCAGGTTGCAGGTGGGATTGTAAGCCCTGAATCAATATTATTTTGGGTAGTGGCTGAGAAAATTCAATCAGGTCCAAAGAAGTAGGACATAAATATCCATTTCAATTTAAATACCTTCTTCTGCAGGACAATTATCAAATATCAGGTATTCAACTTTAAAGAGAAGTCTAGAACAAGGTGTTGGCATCATGTTCATGTCGTTATCTTTGTATGGTGCAGATTACAAATTTATGGGTTTATATCCAACAGTTGGCCTGTTTTCAGTTTCCCCAGCTCCCAACTTATGTGTAAATAATTTATGAGTTCAAAGTGACAACAAGTGCAGTGCATATTTGAACATCTAATATATAAAAAATTGCAAACCTATATGACTCTATATTTGATGACTGGATGACAGGAGATTATGTTAAGTTGTCATGTTTAACAAGACATAAACATAGGGTCAGATTAGTGCAGTTATTATCGTTAATCATGAGGATTTCATATTCACGCTTTCATTTACTTTATATCTAGATTAATCAACTTCTTTATTGTCAACATTGATTACATGCTTGATGTGTTTCCACCATGTTGAATTTTGGGTTCATTTGTACTGCAAATGTTCCCATTTCTCTGAAAATAACTCATGTAGGAAGATTTATATTAGAAAGACCATGGACCCAGCTGAAATATAGGATCAATCCATCCAATCCAATACATTATATATAAGCTTATTTTAATAATAAACTTTTATAAAACACAGCCACATATGTGAGCATGACTAAACAACTAGATCAAAACTAAAGAAGTGAATGGAGGCTGTGAGTTTCCAATGTGCTGTCTAATCTCTTGAGAATTACCATGTACCAGTACCTTCTGTTGAATAGCAACCTATTAGCTCTCAACCATTCTAACCACTATTCTCTTTATAACTATTTGCAAATGTTTTAGTTCAAAAAGACTTATGTCAGTTTTTTAAACCACACTTTTTTTGTTTTCAAAATTACCAACACCTCATAAAAATTTGTAGTTATATCTATATACTCTCAGTAAGAAACATTAGGAGGGAAATGTTCTAGTGTTTTTAAAAGTGAAATTTATCTTACAAAAAACAGTTTTGACTAAAATAAGTGAGTTAAACTGTGTATTATTTTATCATCATATTGTGTCAATTTGACCTTATTTTGATGAAAAAATTAATGTTTAGCTCATCTTGGTTTGAGGTGATATGATTTTGAGGTAATTTCTACCCATACCACAATGTTTTTGATTGTAAAGAAAGTATCCCCTACTTGATGGTGTTGCCCTTTTGGCTTCAGTGATATTATTATTAATCTTAGGGAATAATTGAAATAACTATTCTTCACCAATCTCAGTCATAATAAATCCTCTATAAATACTAAAATATACCTTATTTTGATGAAAACTCTATGTTTAGCTCATCTTGGGTTGAGCTGATATTGTTTTTGAGGTAATTTCTACCCATACCACAATGTTTTTGATTGTATCTCAGTCATAAATACTCTAAAAATTCGAAAATATACTTCAAATATTGAAGTCCTTGAATTTAAATCCAACAAAAATACCTTCTAAGGCAAATCTTTCAAAATAATTTGTTAGAATTGCCATGAGCCTTGAAATCAATGGTTATTCCTGTCCATGAGTTCTAAATGTGATATAGTGATATGATGTATATTAAGAACACCATGACTGTAATACAGGTAAAAACAATTAGATTATTGGATTGAAGCCAGGTAAATCTCATACCTAAAAACAAAACCTTTATCTATAAGCTTATAACATTTCATTTCATTAATATAACATGTATGCATATATTGCTTTCTGATTCTGGATTAAAAATTTTGAAATAGATTGAACCAGTGCTTTTAACAATTTAGAGTTAACTTTGAAATATTTCTTTTATTAGCTGATGGTGCTCAATTCCATCTGTCCCTAACACATGTCAAAACTAAAATCTGGGTCCTGTTTGCATCAATTAGATTTTCTGCAGCTTTTGCTAATGATATGAACTCAATAGAATGTTGTTGTCCTACATTTTCTGTAATTTTTTGGACCATTGAAGACAGGGACTATTAAATGAAGTACTAAAAGAGATAAATCTTATAAGTAGTTAAGACCAATAAGTTGAAGTATTTTCAACTGGGTCAAATCATCAATATCACTTCAACTTTCTAATTTTAACCCTATTACAGCCCATTACATTTATTATACAAACATTATTGTAATGTTTATAGAACAATTACCCCATTATTGGCTGTTAAATGGTTAGAGTGGGGCTCTTGGTAGGTAAATAAGTGGAATTCTAGTGTGTTACCATTAGGTGTTTTCTACACATTAATTACTTATTTTTGGAAAAATAATGCTTAATAAAAATCAGTGGTATTGAAGTGTGTAACTATTACCTGTTTAGGCTATTTATATTATTTATCGAAACATTACTTTAAAAAAAACACAAGACAATTGAAATGTATTTTACTTAAAGGGACAGATTCACTAGTAGTTTACCACCTGTGGTACCGTAGTCTTAGAAACAGGATTTTTTTTTAGCTAATCAATAGTAATAGCGTGCACAGCTCATTATCAAAATTTGAGTCTTCAAATCAAGGTTTGTCCAGGATGATCTACGTTTGAAAGTTAAAATGACGCTTTGTTTTTTCTTTAGAGTCCATTATATAGAAAAGACATCTATTAAAATAGAAAGTGAAATTTTTTGTTTGAAGTATATTTGAAAGAATTTTTATATAGTTCTTGTACTTCTGAATACCTTTATGAATTCAAGACTCAAATCAATCCCAGAATATGGCGAACCATTGCCTTTAAAAGTGTAAAGTCATAAAAAACCATAGTAAAAAGGATTATTTATAGTAAAAAGAGTCTGACACAAAACTGCTTAGAAATTGTATAAATGCAAAATATAAAAGTATATAAGATAGATAAAAGGAACTATTGAAGTGCACTTCACATGAAAGTACAGCTAAGTGATCTTGATTTTTTTGTTAAGTTATATAAAATAATAGTAAGCAGTAAGCAATAATAATCATAACTTTATTGCAAATATTATGCAATATATGGCCATAGCAATGATAAACAACACAATACAAATAA